GATTGAGTTTGTTCATTCAGGAAACAAAACGAATGCCAAAAACGCAACATCGAATGCTTTCAGAAGCACAGTTTCGATTTTATGACGTAGATAAAAATGTTCACAATTGAACACCAAACGATGGTTTTGACACCAAACTTCAGTAAAAATTCAATTTTACTCACTCACGGTATAGTAGACCACAACGCCATTGCCATTACAGATATCAAACTTTGACTCAAGATTATCATCACACAAACCAACACCCAAAAGTTAATCCCTATCAAAAACATAATCAACAGAGTGTGAATACAAAATTAGTTTTTAATAGCATACTTGTATTGGAGCTGAATGAGAATGATCCAATCTGCATGATTACGAGGCTGGTTCACAAAGTCGGCCAACAACGCGTTACAATTACACTAACGACCTTCGCGGGAGCACAATGTCAAGTGCGGTAACGTTTTGACAATGACCCTACCTGTACAGCGATGTGCTAATTGAATTAGATTAAAAGGTAATTTACCTCAATCAGGGATACGAACCTTGCAATGAATCAGCAACCTTGTATAGGTAATCCGTTTAGATCTATACCTATGGAGTAGATTACATTTCCTCGCATAGGTCGAGTAATAAATCCTAGGAAGTTTTTCACTCAGACGGAGTTTTTTGCTCGTTCTTCTCCTTTGAAACTACACTTTAGAACGAGCACCTAGCCTTGCTGACTGACAGACTTACGGGCAATTCAATTTTGACGTCTCAAAAGTGCCTATACAAGGATTTGTTGAATTAAATGCTTGACTATTTTAAATTCCCATGTTGAACTGGCAATACTAAAATATAAACGTGAAAGACACAATACTTAATGACCATGCATTATGATCGCAGGTAATAATCGAATATAGAAAGTCTACTCTCTAACAAAATAACGCGGTGCTGAGAAGAAAACTATATTTCACTTTCCCGAGGTAAAAAGTATAAGACCTAGGTTACCAAATCAAAATAATTTTATTGAGCTGCTATAGAGATTATACAGCTAACCTTTGAAGCAACTAGTTGGTTGTAAAAATAATTGGCAATTGGAATCCGTCCGTCCCATCTTGCATAACCCCACCTTCGCGGCAGGAAAAGTAAAGCTGAACAATATCTAAATAATCACGGGAAGATCTAATACCTAAGTATATTAAATCTGTAATTAAAACTCAAGTAGGACATTCAATTGGGGCATTTCAGATCAGGATGGCTGCCAAATAAAACTTGCGCAATCAATTGACGCAACTCAGGGGTATGTGAGCTGGCACGCGATCGGGGTGACCAATTCTAAATCATTATTAGACGGCCAATGAACTTAATATTTTATGCTATGGCAACTTCACAGGTGGTAAAGGTAGGTCGGGACACACTACATATGAAATTGAGTTAAGTTCGTGCGTCATACGACTGAAGATGATTACTTATTCAAGATTCGATTAATATCAAGACACCAATGAAAACAAAAATTAAGTTTAATGAGAAATCAATAAATTTACATACCCGAACTTAATACAAAACTACGTATGTATCAAAAACATGACCTAAGCTTGACGATTTCAGTCTCAGTCAACCATCAAAATACAGCAATTAAATTAAGGAAAACGCAGGAGCCTTAGGGTTACGCTCGACGAAGGAGGCATATTAAGCACAAAACGAACAAGCCCTGAGGGGTATTACAACCCCTCGCAGAAACAAGTGAATTTGCGAGACTGGAATACAAAAACTTCTGTATTTGGTAACCGAAAGGTCTCATTAGGAACATAAATAGGATACTATATTCAGCCACCCATGTCAAGTAAAGTAACTGAAGACAGTAAATTAGTAAGATTGAGATGCAAGGTTGGTCAGTAAAATAGAACACTTCGTTTCCCAAATAGATAAGTATAAACATTACGTATTCTGATTGGTTTACAAATGTCCTGATAAAAGCGTGATGTCGGAATACTTTTCAGTATCGAAATGGAAATGGATAAAGATAATGCGATATGCAATTTTGTTATTGATAAGAGCAAATTAATATGGTCAAACGGGTAAACTCTCCATCTACTTAAATAGATATTTTGATATTGAAATTACAATGCATATAAGGACAATATGATCAAAAACAAACAATAATCGAATAAAATAAACACTTAAAAATTAAAATACAAACAAATGCGCATATGCAGGTGACACGAAACGAGTTCAACGACACAGAAACAGACATTTAGACAAATATTGATAAACCTACTGAAATTATATTAGATAAGGGACTTAGATAATGTCAATATTATTATTATCGTTTTGTTTGGCTGTTTATTGAGATATGTAACATTATTTATAGATTGTGAGATCAGACCAGGAGACTCTTGGGCGGCAGCTACTTTTTACAAAAGCTAAGAAGAGTCAACAGCTGTAATCTATTTTTTACAAAAGTATACTATCATACACAAAAATAGTCACTAATAATACTTTGACCGAGCATAGAGCATGCTGCTGAGTCGAAGTCCACTGAATATATGAAGACATCATGATTACAAGATGTTACGTCTAGTACATGAAAGTTTACAACTCTGAACACTTTTAGAAAGATCTTACATTTTTAATAGCTGCTATGTCCCGACCCAAGTCTTAATTAGGATATACAATATTAATTTCATTTTTGGTAGGTACTGTAACAGTACGATACTATAGTTAAGACATTTCTTATAATATGCTATTAAAAAATGTGTGCAAAGTTTATGACAATACATTTTATCAAAGTTGCATTCCTGAAACTTCTTTCAAGTTGGATAGCCTAGCAGTCTCTGGGGGTTGGAACCCATAAATTGCAAAACTGCAATGCAATAAAGCCAAAGCTTAGTCTCCATCCCGTAAATAGAGATTGGAAGCGCATTGGGATTTAGTATGTCCCCTCATGGAGGTACTTTTCTATCTGTACCTTTCAGACGCGTGTGCATGTGCGATTGATTAAGCTGCGGATTTAAGGACTAAATAAACTTACACTTACTGCAAACCGAAAAATTTACTTCTATCAATGAGCAACAGAGGGTTAATACCCCAACGATTTGGGTATGTCTTTAAAGTAGGGACCAGCCACCGAGGAGCCGGCTGGCTACAGGCTACAGCAGCCTCATATTTTAAATGAAACCTTTGTTCAGTAGTGGAAATATTCTGATTTTTATAATGATTCCAGTATTTATTCTAGTAACAGACTATCACTTTAAAAGGTTTCAGTTTCATGCTCATTAGTGTCGTGTATTTAAACGGTAGCATTAGTTGAGATATAAATCTGTCTGTCAGTCCAATTATAAATACAAAGGGCATATTATGTATGGCACCGATGTGAGTGACAATGATTTCGCGTGCCCCACCTGTCAGAACTCAGAACAACAAATGACCCGCGACCGTTGAACTCGCCAGCCAGACGCAGCGACGCTCATGCACAACGAATCAAACCTTATGTCTCACTCTAACGATATAAGGATGTGTGGAGTATATGAGACTTAAGTTCATACTCTTACATTTAAATTACTGGAGCGGTGTTATGATTATGACAAAGCTTTCTCGTCATGAGAGAACAAAGAAAGTGCTCTGCAAGAACTCAACGTCGAGGTAGCAATGATGAAGACAATAGTTTTATCTATAAAAATCGTTAAATTATAGTAAGTTTAATTTCTGTACAATCATTGGAAACTGGTATAACATCATTTTAGAAGGATTTAAAATGTCTTAGATTCCTACCTAAAGCAACCAACAAAGGATGTACATTGTAGGTTGTAAACTGCAGTATATTACTTAAACGATAGTACGAGAGCCAGGCATACTGTGGGTTAACGTAATGCAATAGATAACGACCTAATGAATCATCGCGTGATGTGAGCGAAGTCGTTGTGCTGCCCTCGTTGCAATGCATTACCAATATTTGTAGACGTATTACCTTGATAAATGCTCACTTTATGCTAAATTATGACGACAATTTTAGGACTCAGGTACATGAAATATTCTGGCAAAACGGTTTATTTTTAAAAACGGAAACGAATGAAATACTATAAACCCAACGTAGTCACACAATAAGCAAGAAAATGACAGAACTTGATCCAAAAATACACCAAAATCCACTATTCAGTAGCTACAAAGAAAATCACGAACAATACGAATCATCAGCTAAAATGGAACTGAATTATATGTTGTATAGTAGCGAGACACACGTCATGCCGGTTCAAGATCGCTATTAAGATTGAGACCGACCGTTAGGGCAACGTCGCCTCATTAGAACGTCTTTACTTCGAGACATTATTTTTATTTCATGCCAGTTACAATACTGTAAAAGGAGGTTCACGCAAAAGTGATGTCATTTGAGGCGGTTTTTGGGAATCCTTGTTAGGTAATAATAATTAATTACAGTTATAGTGTTAACTCAAGGTTAAACCCTGAAGTTTTTAGAATAATGAAATCAATATAACAAGCAAAATATGAATCAATTATAACTAATTTCCGTTAGAAACATTTTTGGTACAAAAGATGGTTTGACATTTAACTTGACAATTCATTTTCCTGACGATTGTTCAAATCGTAATGTAAACACGTGGTTCATGTTTGAGACGATTATAATACAAGGAATAATTTGTTTGTATTAGTGTTGCAGTATGATTCATGGAGCCTAAACAGTTGTATGACTAAATATAAACAAGTTGCGTTAGTCGTTTTAGTGAAGGTGCGCAAATTAACTCGAGTGTGTTACTTACGAATATTGTTATGATCAAGTTTTGTACGTTAGCAAAGTTATGACAAGTTACTAATGAGAATCGAGTCGTACTGGAATCGTTTCTGGGAATATGAGAAAAAGTAACAATATGGGTATCAAAGGATGTTCTAGATCTTTCTCCTATTAATTTAGCTTGCAACATGCGAAATGTGCTGACATCATTTATCATAAAATTATTTAGTAAAGGAAATGGTTATATTACTCATTTCGTAAAAATCTTTTAAAAAAATAGGTAACTCACCTTTTGTCGCTACCGGAATAGATTGCCGCGTCATGTCCTAAAACAGAAATAATTCATTAATATGTTTAAAGTAACTATTATTCACTTGCAAAATAATAATAAGAAGCTGCAGGATAGGGATAAAAATATAAACTATTTACAAAAGTAATGTTAAAGCCCTCAATTTGAAGAGTGCGAGAAATTTTTGAGAAAATATTCACATAACAGAAACCAAAGAAAAATTAACCTTTATCGTACCTAATATTCCGATCATTGTGATAGTCCAAAATAAATTAAGAAATAAAATAAATAATCCATTCCAGACTACCTACACAAAAGCTTCACAATAAAACACCAAAAACGACTAACTTAAAAAATTGCATCCGTTGTCTATGGTTTGTATTTCTATGCCCGCATGCACAGATACAAACAATTTTCAAGCTTTCGAAAAAGCATTTCGTAATCAAGCAAATCTTTGATGCGGGCAATTCTGTATTTCGTTTCCATCTTCAACGGTAATGTGACAGCGATGTAATAAAATGGAACAAATTATTTTTACTCTTTTCCTAATACGATTGGACAATTCATGATTCATGTAACCCTTAGACTTCTATCACCTGCACTCCATATTTTATGCATTTTACTAGAGCTACATACTATTAGCTAGAGACAATAGGATATTACTAGCACCCCGTTGTCAGAGTTGGCTGACTGCACGGTTGGCGTGGTGGCTGGACAACTGGCTGCCGCGTAACGTGTCGCGGGTGCGATTCCCGCACGGAGCAACTCTTTGTGTGATCCACAAATTGCTGTTCCGGGTCTGGGTGTCATTATGTGTATGTGAACTTGTATGTTTGTAAACGCACCCACGACACAGGAGAAAATCACAGAGAGGGGCACCGTTGTTTTCTTAAAAAAAGTTCTGAATTTTACGGGTCTAAAACCGTTTTAAGACCGAAAGCTTGAAGTGGTCTCCAAGGCACTAGAGAATCTGTTAAGACCCATACGTAATCTAATACAATCTGAAGAGCGGTTGGTCAGCGTTTGAAGTGAACCACGAACTGCTGACACAAATAAATGATACTTTAAAACTTTGTTGGCTCCACAATATACGTACAAAAATCGAATATCGATGGAAAATTATATTGAACTGCGATGCTTGGTCCGATAACGTGGCCCAGAAAAAATAATGGCGTACAACAATACAAAGTTGACATAATTACTGCTTTTCACTTTTACTTCCGTATGACATACAAAATGAGCTTCACATAATAATAAACATACTGTAGCAGGCTCCATTTTTATTACAGCATGGGCTACTTTATTTGTATGCATATTGGTGTCACCATACTATGTAGTGTCCTCAAAATATTCCTTTTTGCTGAAGTTTCTTCATCAAGTAATAAGGTTTAACTACCCTTAATTAATGCAAATCCGTAGCCCACTAACCGAGTTTTGCATCGAAGAGTTTCGTAACACTCGCGATTACAACCACCGCCTTAAATCAACTAACACCATTACTTCAAAAGGAATACAAAATGGCTAATATAATGTGGATGATACAGCAAAAACATGCATAGTTTGTGGCTATTGAAATATTGATATTACATTTATAATTGGTTTGAATTTAGTTCAACTTTTTTATTTAATTGTGTATATTCAAACATACAAATATTCCTCACTAAATAATCAAAAATAAAAGCTTCAACATATGCTACTAACTGTGGTATATTTTCACTTATTTAAACTGTCAAACACCAAGCGGTCACCGGTGACCGCAACCTATTGTTCTATAATTGTGTCTACAAAACCGGTACTCGACGAGTTAAATCGTTCTACGTAATATTCGTCCACACTTGTTATTTCGTAAGCCCACTCGTTCGTATAAAGTTTTATCTACCCTGACAGGACACTTTTATCGTGGCGCACCCAACCGAACCTAGAAACGTAACCAGGCCAATGGTACGTTACTCCGTACTTCCTTATTCACGGCACCTGACGTACATTTCCTCTGCGAAATGCAGTATAAATCCACTTTGATGGCGCTCTTCCTGTTTATCGGACTGCTCTGCGGATTTGTATCTTATTTGCTCTCATTTATTATGAACGAAATCAATTTCAAAGAAATATGACACAGTGTATGACATAGATGGTAGTTCTACGAATCGACTTTATGAGAACTGAGAATTTGATTCTATAGAATGTACAAAACAACCCTTATACTGGTGCAATTACAGAACAGAAATTAAGTACTAGACCGATTTAAAAAGTATCTGAAAATGTATAAAGTAGGAATATCCATTTCAGAAGCAATTAGCGGAAGGTAATTTATCACGGTCGGGCGGCGAGGTAATGAATAGCGTACTAGCGCCCAACTCCAGGACTGTAATCTCTTCCAGTAGACTGGGTGCCGCACGGGCAATTTCCCGGACGACGGTACACCACTAAATCGTTAAAGTGCTAAGTGAAAAATACGCTGATGGAAACTGGAGCTGACTTTTATTTAAACTTCGAGAAATTTCTCTACAAAAGCGATTTCATTTCAAATATTTGTCAATGATTCTCCATCTACAATCTACAAGTTCTCGTTTAAGCAGAAAACATTTCAAGTGATCTTACTTTAATCCTGGTACATTAGCATTAACATTTTTCCTTTTGTAAATGTTTTTTGTCGTATAACAACGGCAAGAAAACACATTTAGATAATTTAACGACTTCCTAAGTTATAAGATATTCACAAACATTCTCTGTGGATTTCTGAGATAAGTTAATGCTGCTTCATGGTTCTTTGGTAACTTTAGTATTGATTTACCTTTAAATAGATACCAATGTCGTCCCGCCTTTATCCTTTAGGATCGGGAATACCAAAAAACAACTATATTACAAATATAATTTAAATGAGAAATCTTATCCAATGTTTAATCAGCCATGTCATGTAAACACATTTAAATACATTTATTATGTTCTAATACCAATAAATTAATTCGAATCCTCAAGAAAGCACTTGACGTCACGTATGTGTACCGGAACATTGCTATCTTATCTGTACACAATGCGTTTCTCACTGATAACATATTAATGAATATGTATCATTGTAGGTACATGTAATACTGTGAGGAGTAAATTTCAGCAATCTATTAAGATTTCCGATGGTTGTTAAAGGTGTAAAATAAGGAGGGAACGCCAGAAGATTTTTTTATAGACAATCCACATCAATACCCTCGACTACTCTCAAACTAAGGCTATGAAACTAGCTTACTATTAAATGCTCTTCAAAAGAAAATTTGGTTAATTTTATTTAATTTTTGAAGCCCCATAGTATTACATTATAAGTAAGCTAGTTTCAGAGCATTGTGGTGTTCAATTATAATATTTTCGGAGGAAAAGGACGTTTGTTTTATATCAGTTCGGAATCAATAAGGCAAGAATCTCACGATTCAGTATTCATACCTAAAACTGGGGAAAAACTAATGCATATAACGTACGTCCTGATTAAACTAACAAAGAAAAATAATCGTGACTACGTTCTTAGATTAAACAATACAATGGGATGACGTTTTCGATGAAGATTAAGTGGGATATGTATAGAAAATCCGCTTCATCTTATCGAGTGTTGTGCGTACTTGGGCAAAATTAGAGAAACAACGGGACGTCTATTACAAATTGTAGGAAACAATAAAATTAATGTCTACACGTGTAGTCTTAGCTTTGTGTGGACAGTTTTATATTGCTATTAACTCTAGTTATAAGTACCTATTACGATTTATTTATTCATAGCTTAGTTTTTACTTTGGTTGGAATAATTATGCAGTGTCAAAATGCTATAAGTGACAGATAACCCATAATGTATGTATTTCAGATAAGCGTTTTCTTCAGAGAATAGATATTTTGTGTTTTATCTATTTGTATCCGTATCAGTACTAAATGTAACATCCCTTTTTTTACAAGTTTTAGGTCATTTTGTAAGAGAAGATCTCTGATATCCTTATTGGAATCTTCAACACCTAATCAGTGGTTGGTTTTATTTACCACTAGCGACCCGCCCCGGCTTCGCACGGGTGCAATATGCATATATTATACATACAAACCTTCCTTAAGAATCACTCTATCTATTAAAAAAAACCGCATCAAAATCCGTTACGTAGTTTTAAAGATCTAAGCATACATACGGACATACAGCGAAAGCGACTTTGTTTTATACTATGTATTGATGAATAGACCAACAAAGTCATCATCAGCATCGTCGACATCTATCCATCCATAGATAATACTAACAGTTAGTCACATTACATATTCTTTTCGCAAGCCAATTACCTTAGACCTTATACTTTCTTCAATGTCAATTGAGTCATGTCGATAGCTATTAATTTGTCCTTCAATCATTGTCAATCATAAAAGTGCACGTGGAAAATCGCTACAGATGTTTTATCTCACGAGTGCGGGTGCACCATACTTGTGTGGGTAAATGTGTATGCACATTTGTCTTTGTTTGCGTACGCTCGGGAACGCTAAATTTCGGCCAGCATGGTAATGAATGAGCATGCTGCTAGTTACGGACACAAGCGTGCGTGTCTATACGCACTACAAATACAACTATGACTCATCCGCGCTCGTGAGATAAAAGAACTGTAAGATACTTAATGCGCACTAGTTTTGTTAATATTACTTAATAAATACCTATTTTCCGTGCAGTGAGATATATTATATTAAAATCATAACAATCCTTAGCGATATCTCCCTAAAATTGTTCTTTGTCAGTTCAGAACAAGATCACACATATTTTGCAAAAATCACTCTCACACGTATGGTGAACACATTTAAACCTCCAAATACACAGCGAATTTCGTAAGATCAAACCATTTAGTATTCATAATAATGCTCAATAAAAATCAAAAAGCTTAAGCTGATACAATTACCGCCGAAACAGGCGAATGCAATTGGTCATAAGAAAATTTCCGTTAAAGGTCGATAAGACAAGAGTCAGAGTGGCAGCGGCGTGGGAAGATGAATCATCAACTGATGTCATTAATGATGACCAAATTAGACTTACAGTAAACACCTGATAAATGAGACATAAATAACTCATTTCTGCCACCCAAATCAAAATGTAGATTGTTTAATTTAACTTTTTACAGATCGGTTTTGGCCGAATGAACGAGTGCAACAAATATACAGTACACCGACATTATACAACTACTGGGTACATTACAATAAATAATTGGACAGAGTTTTTGTTACGCCGAAGCCGCTGCGCAAACCGTATCGCATTGTCGACTGGGTTATAACAGGCGTGACAAAAGCACAATCCATTACAGTCAAACAAAACACCATAACAAGCCGTTCGTGTGCAAATCATAGATCGTGGAGCAACGTAATCGAAAAAAGTGTGAAAATAAAAAATAAAGTGATATCGGGCCAGGCTGCGCACCACGGGATCCGTGTGCGCCAGGCTCCGGCGTGCGAATGATGCTTTAGTAAGTGCGTAAACTGTACCGATCGTGAGTTGCGCACGGGCAGCGTGTGTCCGGAGTCTGCGGCTCCATCTCCCTCGGCGCTCTCCCGCAAGAAGCCGCCGTCGTCCGACGACGAGCCAGACGGGTCCTTTGCGGCCATGTCAAACATACACGTGCCAATGATACATGACAAAACACGGTGCAACAACTTACTGAACGATCTGGCGCTTCGCCCTCCGCCTGCGTCATTTATTTTATAATCAAGTCACAAACGATGTGCGTCCCTAATGGACTAGGTTCGAGTTGAAAGTGAAACTGAAATGCTTGCACGGCTGTATGGAAAATCGATGCGACCGGTGTCCGGCGTGCGTCAAACGTACCCATACCAGTTGGAAGGTCGTCTGTACTTCTAACCATCAATCATCGTGGGACCAAGAGCCGGCCACTACTTAGCACGCGACCATCAGCCGGCGTTTCCATAAACATCGATATTATCTAGATACATGTCCCCTAACTAACGCTGTTGTGTTTACCCATTCATGACTAAGTAGTGTTTCTAGCGGTATCATGATTATGATTGTACGGCGTGCTTCAACAAACTTCCGTTGCCACGGAAACAGTGCATCTCACAAAAAAATTCGTCAAGCTGTGATCGTTATGGAGCTAGCTGCAAATAGTCACCTGCCAACTGTAGATATATGGGAACATTTCTACATTTTCTCCAGCAATTGCGCGACAGGCGTAACACGGATGCAATTTTTGTCACGCATTGGTATGACTTCGTTTAATATACAACACTACACACCCAACTAATGTCGGTTTTGCTAAATGAGCGATTTAGAAAAGTTCATAATGAAAATGTCGATAATTAGATATGACAAGTGTCTTGGCGTCATGGGCAGATAACACATTCGCCTTACTCGGATATGTCAGCACAACTGTGGCGTGTAGCGTCTATTAGCAACTGTTCTCCACAACCCAAACAATGAGAGTGATCGCGGCTTGGTACGCGATTCGGACGCCCTTACTAATCGATAACACTAACTAAAGCTTTCATTTAGCTTTATCGCCAAAGTTAACAATCGATTAGAGGCGCAAACTGTAGGCGAAAGCAAGCAAATGGCGACTGCAGGCTTTCAGCAAAAATTAGGTCGATTTGACCTTTGTTGTTGCCGTGAGGAAATGCTTTAAAGGTCTGGTCACATCGCAATTTTACACGTCGCGTTTCTACTACGCTTTGTACTGGTGTGTTGCCTATTCAATAGATTCAATGTGTACACTAGGTACCATAAGCGAATTCGTTCCGAAAACTTCAGCAAACAATAATCAGAAACATTTCTGTGTATTTTAACCCAAAAAATTCAATTTCACTGATTCAGTTAAGACTGCAAAGTTATGTTATTTCTAAGTTAGGTGTTGCAATTTAGAAAGCGACTGCGATCGTGCTAAACAATATGAACAGACCTTAACCGCTAGAATTTATTGCACTGAAGTTTATAATAGTGTTAACGCCGCTAAAATAAATTAAACTGTAATGAAAGCAAGGCTGCCACGTCCCTGCATTACCTACAGCTACAGCGAGACCTGATGTACTCATTGTTAATATTAGTTTCAAAACAGTCATGACGCAATGTGTTAGTAACATAATCATTAGTAGATGGTATGGGTGTGCGAATGAATGAAATCATTTTGATCTACCCATGTGATTTCTATTAGTAACACAACTAATTCAAGCATTTAACTAATTATCTCGGTATGCGTGTCTAATGAAAAAAGACTAACATCAAGTGCTGTACTTGGGATGAGTAGCCTCAAGAGCTCAAGCTCATCATTATTCATAGCTAGTCATGATTGATGACCATTAATTACATCGATCACGCTTGACGAAAAGATAAAAGTTTCAAGTTGCACTTTTTGCAGTAGGTACTAGGCGCACATGACTTCATAAGAGATGTTACTAAAAGTGTAACTAACGCAAGCTGTATGAAATGTTTACTAAACATTTACGCTTGCCGGAAACATGAATGACCGCTAATATAGATCTATTTCTGGATACATAAAGAGAGATGTCTTACCCTGGCTAGTTTGTTGGGCATCGGCTGTAGATGTGGTGTGTGATGCCTGGGGCCGACTGCAAGCTCCGGGTTGAGGGCTAGGATGGCATCAATCTCCACCTCCTTGCCCTTGGTCTCGCCTCGTTCGTACCATTCCACTGTAACTGACCTCGTCTCCAAGTTGACCCCGGAGACGATCGCTGAATGGATCCGGCCTGGAAATTGTAAAGTTTTGCCATCAATGCAGGGCCCTAGGTATAAAATTATTCACAAGGTGATTGGATGTTTTTGTTACAAATTCCTATTGCTTTCTCAATAAATTGCCTTAAGAAAATAGATAACATAGATTACACCGTCTTATTATTAAATAACAGATCTGTTATTCAGAATAATATTTAGATCTGTATGCACACGTTTATTCTTCTGGAAAAAACTGTTCAAACAGATCTCGTTTTTCAGTTGTTAAACTTAAACATAAAACATTATTATTCTTTGAATATATACTATGTTATGTAATGCTCACACAAGTTTCAGATCATCGAGTTGTGTTTCAGAAAGAACGATGAAATGATAAATTCTTTATCGAAATGGCTCACCAGCACTTTTGGTGCAAGGATAATGGGTATCCCGGTCCGAAAGCTGCGAAAGCAGTCTTGGACGCCCGAAAATGAGTTATAATTTGGATCTCTACCACATCAACATAAAATAATGACAATGAAATCTTTTTGTCAAAATAACTGAGAAGTATGCAAACGATAATTGCATACAAATATCTAATGAGAATTTTTTACAATTATTACCTACCTAAATGTCTACTTAAAAAACTGACAAGATTATGAAACAGTTAATTCAAAGTTTAATTAAACACCAACAGCAGTCTGTACATACGGTACACGTGTCTGCATAGTGTATATGCTGACAGGGGGACACATCGACTGCGACAAAGGGGGGGTGACTAGACGCATTAAACAAACGGCCTTGTGTGGCTGCACGCTTTATAAAAACGTAGGTCCTTGTTGCTCTAATATCATTCCTGTCTATGTTTGCCCAATAAATATCTGTCTAGCCACAAGAACCTTAGCAAATATTAGGAGTGAAGACTTTCGACTGTTTTTGTGGAAAATATGAAATAACAATTTGATAGATGTTAAAATTCAATCTCAATCAATAACAAAACATTAAAATACACTTAAGATGGATTACTCACATCAGAATATGAACTAAAGTTAATATTGAGATGCCTGTCAGTCAATGCCGTGGATTTTGGCACGTTCAACATCGATATGAACGTTATGTAAACACACGAATGAAAATAATATCGTAAGAGATTATTCGAGACACGTGTATTTTTTCTAGGATTGCATCCATCCAAATCCTTCTCAACTTTATCGTTTTGTAACATAGTCGAAAATCCATTGGAAAAATTGGACAGATTACCTTTTTACAAAGAATACTCGACGGTAGAATAAATTTGTTTGAACAAGTGTACAGCATCCTCATCAATTGGAACATGGACAATGGCAGTGAAACGTCGAAGCTAACAAAGAGCTAATTATAGAGTCGGGACAAGTTCGATGACCTTCCAGTGCCTGCGATCCTATTGCGCCCCCTCATTACACAGGGCAAAAGTATCCAAAAGAACCATTTAAAAAAAAAACATCAAGTAAATGTAAATAGAAAGATTCCCTTTCAGGACCTTATAAAAACCTTCTCCAAAACTTATATCTGGCCTTTTCAATGAAGGCCTGAGTACCTTAGTTGAACTTATCTACCTTTTACTTATCGATCGGATCATTTATGGAAATCTATAGGTGCATTACAACGAGTTATTGCCTTATTCAAGTAAATGTGACTCATAATATTGAGGATAAAGTAAATAAATAAGTTGATAAAGAACTCAAGAGCAGTATTATTTACAAATAATCTTAAGAAACAGAACGACCATTGACGAGTACAATCGCATAAAAAATAGTTAAGCAGTTATTATTCGATAATAGGCTAATGACCAGAATGATGTAAACGCTGAAATATTTCGGGTCAAGGCCATCGACCTGTGACCAACGACAGAGAACCGTTTAGTGCACTTTACTTTGTATTGTTACCTATGGAAAATATTTTTATGGCTTCCAGGATGAAGTAAGCTGTATTAAAAAGAACTCGTAATACTTCGCCATCTCCCGCAATTACTCATCAATACTTCAAAACAAATTAAGTGTACCCAAATAAATTTTCATATCATCAAGTGTAGTGATTCATAATAGTGATCACAAAAACCAATCGTCACCTCTAAACACACCCATGGAAAGCGACTTTTGTATGAAAATCGAACAAAAAGCGAGTACGCAGAACAGATTATGCGTACATTGTGTTCGCGGACCATTGTGATAAGGTCGTACGCATCAACTGAGCTAGTAATAAATTATCCGAGCGGAATACCGCAGACGTGCACAGCACTGTCATCGCAATAATTCATGCTTTCACCTCAGCTATGTGTAAGCATAAAACTTTTCAGGGCCAACCGAAACTATCTCGGGCTTTGCAATTAATTTGGGACCCTCTTTCATATTGAATAGAATTCACACGTGAAATATTAATGGCGCAGAGTTAAAACAAGGTTGAATGATTTAACAAATAAAGGAAAATATCAAAACTATTTAATTTACTACGCAAAATATAGAGCTAGTTATGTTAATGAAGACAATAAACAAAGCACGTGGTATTGGTGTGAGATAACACACACGTTCTGTTCTTGTCAAAACTGTCTGTAGAATCTTTGGATTAGAATAATATGTGTATGTAACCTACATTTTTCTTTCAACAAATAATATAAGAGAACAAAATTCAAGTATCTTTCGAAATATAAAACGTTAGTCATAACAGAGATGAACTCAAAGAAATGGTCTCTATCAACAGTCTGACAGGCAGACAGCTGCCAAACAAAAACCAACATCGGAATGTCTCCTTTAATCCAAAGGAATTGTTTAAAAAAACATACCTACTTCATTCACTTCCCCATTTCGCAGTACGAAGCTTAGATATTGAACACACTACCGTCACCATGGTTACGGTCGGCGGACCCAACGAAAGTGGAACGAATCACCGAAATAAAGCAAGCAAAAAACACCGTTATTGGAAATATGCTTTGCGATACGTCCACGGTTCATGTTTGTAAACGTTACTACTTTACTGCTTTAGTCTGGCTAGCTATTAAAGAATGCGAATTAGGTTAAAAATTGCAGAACATGGGCAGAGCATTGATTGCTTTTATACAGGGGTATCCTAATATTCTTTCCTTTTACAAAATCCTTCGTGGTGCTATTGAATTTCTCTTTAAATTACTAGTTATTCATCAAAGAAAGTAAAAGAATATAAATAGTATGTAATTACACGTTCAGCCATTTCTATGAATGTTTTATTTGCTTAGCGTGATACAGAGATAGAACGTACAGTCTGATTTATGGATTAAAATCTAATTAATCCAGAATCGGGGCTTTCAATTTCATTACCTGATCGTAAAACTTTCACGAGATTTCATTTAAGCACTAGATTAGTGGGCTTTACACTGATAACTAACTAAAATAGTAATAGTCACAATTATAGCTTCCCAACTGCCGCCAGAGATGGCGCTACCGTCACAGTACAAAGCTTTGTATTGTTAAATGAAACACAGTCATGTTTCCTTTGCCGTTAAACATGAATTATTTCAATCATAGCCACGTTCTCAATGGATATTGTCACGAAACGTCGAAATCGTGATGTCCAATAGAAACGTTCATTTATCAAATAGGACACAAAGGATCGTCCAATAACACAGACATCATAATAACTAAATTAAGTGGGCGTAATTATGCAAATATTTGGTAACACCTTCATTTATTCACAAATGGGTTAAGTTACAAAACGGCCAACAATTTTGGGGTGCCTTGCGAAAATTGGCCTCGGATATTGGGCTCTGAATTACCTGAGCACACTAATAAGGTAGATTGTAAGGTTCAGTATAAGATAATAATCTTCAAATGATATAACAGACTAGATAGAAAACTTGAGGAGCGATTTCATCAATTAAAATATAATATGTACTATCAAAATATAAAATCAAAGACCCCATTAGAACTATAAAGTCAAATCTAATCCAAGTTTTTGTGATGCCTAATTGGCGTTATCTTAAACGACAAAACGAGAACTGTAAAACTGGTTTGTCATTATTCGAGAGTTATTGCATGGTGCGAACATCCGGAATCATGATTTCATACTACGAAGACGCAGAATTTCGCTATATTAGGCAGTTGAAATTATAAGTACCAGCAAGTGGTTACACTGAAACTCAACTAGGAAATCGGAACCGCTTATAAAATTGTCAATTACCTGATATAACCAGAAAGTAATTACTGTCCAACGGTATGACAGGATATTGACATGCTGTAAAAAACGATACAATAGGTGTTTCTAAGTTTTAATTAACTCGCAAATATCTTAGAACACCGATTACCTAGAACCTAGACTATCGTTAAAGTCCGCGTTAAACTAACCTTATCTTTAATTAAGGAAGTGGTTGTATGCTTGCATCCTCTATGGAAAAGAGGAACTTGGAAATTGGCGTTGTGCCATGAAAACGTTTGGGGAAGTGAAGTACACTAGCAATTTTCTCTCAGGTCAGACACTAGCAGACTTCGGAAAACATTCGTAATCTCACTACATCCATGTTCATTTCCATCAACCGTTCGGCTACACTAATTCTGCCTTAACCAAACATTAATGCATAAATAAAGTAATATTAAGACGATAAAGCACTTATGCATCAATAATCGATTTTCATTTCCTACAGCGATAAGCTACGCAAACACAAGTTGCTCTCACGTAATAAATATCTTTATAATTACTCTCAGGATTAATGTACGGGAACGAAGTAAACTAGGTAATTAATATGTAATACATTTAATAGATAAGTGGGTGAGGGCGTTTAAATTAATCGCGGGTTTGCATCTAACGTACCTAATTGGAGTATGGCAGCAACCTGATTACTGGGTCAAGGGCAAATAGTTTAGTTGATGGACGACCAGCGGGCACGCGCGAATGTGATAGTGTAGCTTATTTATTATTTCTGTGCACTTTCATCAAAGCATACAAGTTGTAAATAGACAACAAAGGGCATTTGACATTGACAACACGGTTAGTGTGGTCGCTGGGCAACGGGCTGCCACGCAACGTGTCGCGG